TTCGTGAGCAGTTGCTTCGCCTGTGATTAAACCATCCCAAGGTAACACGAAGCCACACTGCTCACATCACTAATCTATGGCTTATTCGATTATACGTCATAGCCCCAACTGCTCATGTTAATGTTTTACTCTTGCCTCAACTGCTCACCATTATGTTTACTGACTACGGTTCTTAAACGTAAACAAGGGCATGAGCAGGACGAATTACAAATAAATAACTATATACTGAAATAATGAAAGAAAACTATAATAATATAAATAAATAAATAATAAAAAATAAAATAATAAATAATAAAAATAATAAAAACTCGTGATTTGGACCGGGACACCAATTTACATTCCAACACTATCACGTCTGAGCTAAATATAGAATAATAGCAAAACGAAAGATAAAAAAGAATGATGTATTTCTGAATCTCATTTCAGAATAACCCATATAAAAGACGCTTAAGTTGAAGTTCATGCTTTTCAGTTAATTCTATTGATTCTATTTTGAATGTATATTCACCTTTTCGTTGAAAAAACACTTTATGATAGTGCTTACTATCTAGGTGGTCTTTGACACTAAGCCTAAATACTTTTCTCACAAAAACTTTAGCATCCAGTCCATCTTGTTTTTGTATTTTTCTACAAGTTTCACCTATTTCTTTAATAATTTTATTTTTATTTTCAATATCTTTAATAATTTTATTAATATCTTTTTTTAAAGTTTCTAAAAAATTGTCTGAAGAATTTTCCGAATTTTTATTTTTATTTTCAATATCTTCTTTCAAAGTTTCTAAACAATTGTCCAAAGAATTTTCCGAATTTTTATTTTTATTTTCAATATCTTTAATAATTTTATTTAAATCTTTTTCTAAAAACTTGTCCGAAGAATTTTCCGAATTTTTATTTTTATTTTCAATATCTTTAATAATTTTATTTATATCTTCTTTTAAAGTTTCTAAAAAATTGTCCGAAGAATTTTTATTTTTATTTTCAATATCTTTTAAAGTTTCTAAACAATTGTCCAAAGAATTTTCAATATCTTCTTTTAAAGTTTCTAAATAATTGTCCAAAGAATTTTCCAAATTTTCATTTTCAATCTTGTCCAAAGATATATTTTCCGAATTTTCATTTTCAATCTTGTCGTTGTCCAAAGATTTATTTTCCGGATTTTCACTTTCAATCTTGTTGTCCAAAGATTTATTTTCCGAATTAGCATTTTTTTTTTTATCTTTTTTTTCTTCTTGCTTTATACATTTTATTGAAGTTACGGGTATTTCTTCTCCAAAAAATGTTACTTCATCATGTTTTTCGGATTTATTTTCACCAAAATAATAATCATAAATACTGTTGGGCATTAAATAAGTTCTTCTCATTACAAAATAATAAAGTGCCAAAGGTGCAAATAAAAATAATATAGGTATATACAATATAAATAAACAAAATTTCCAAATAACTCCCCCCAAACCAAAACCTTCTACAGTATTCCAATGAATATTGCATACTCGTTCAAAGAATCGTTCACAATTGGCTAAGATTATATTAAAAAGCCATAACGCTCCAAGTGTAACGATGCTTCCAACCATAAATATATTTGGATGTTTAAATTGATTTTGAGAGTCATTGTATTGATTTTTTTGGATGGTCGATATAATCGTGATAATTGCCGAAATGATAATATACCAAGATGCTAAAATAGCGAACCATATTCCAGTTTTCTTTTCTTGCTTTATAAGATAATTAATACGTTTTAAAAATTCGGTATAGTGTTTATATCTTTTGGGCTTCATATTCTTGAAAAACAAATCGTCTATAATAGGCTTTTCATCATCATTTTCCTTTTCCTTTTTCTTTTCATTAAGCGGGGTTTCTTTTACAGACTGCAAAATTTCTATAAAATTATTTGTATTTTTTTTAGCGGCTTCTATGTCGTCTTTTGACATGAAGTTTTTTTTAAAGCTTTCTACTTTAATTTTTATGAGATTTAGAATACCAGCGGCACCCGTAAGGCTCGGCATTATAATATTAACAGTAAAGTTAGATACATATTTCTCAATAAAATACAAACATATTCCAAAAAATATGGTGAGAATAGCGATCGATATGTGCACTATCATTATTTTTGTCCGGGTCTCTAAATTTTTTTTAGTCTTAATCCATTCATCTTTAAATAGCATGTAAGTAAATTTATTTTCTCGTTCCATCTTGGTATTTTGCAAATAGTTGTAATGACGAACCTTAGCCATTTTTATAGGAGATACGTTATATTGGTTACGGTACGATTCCCCGAAAGTTATTTCCCCTACAAGTCACTTACCCGACATCACACAGGTGACAATTTGCTAAAAATATATACATGCAACTAATCAAATGCTAAACCTAACCCTATGTGATGTCGGGTAAGTGACTTGCAGAGGAAATAACTTTCGGGAATTGAGCGACAACCCGTTATATTTATGATGTACAGTAGTCTTTGAAAGTATTGCACAAAAAAATATTACAGTACTTTTTTAACGTTAACTCCAAATTAAATAACGAATAAGTGAAAAGGCACGGCTGTTACATAAAAAATCTAGATGTCACCTATTGTCAAAACAGAAGTGCACATACTCATTATCGTTACGTAACACATTTTCTTGCTTATTTTATCTAAAAAATAGTCTGAGTGTCATCCATTGCCAAGCAGAAGTACACATACCGATACTTGTTTTCATTCTCGTTATCAATTTATACAGTCGGTACAAGAAATCAAAGTGCCATAATTTCTTTATACGTAAAGTTAATATATAGTTAAGCACTAAATTATCGACATCAATAAAGTATTTACGTATACGTATTGCCTTATTGAGTTAGAATTACTATATATGGAAGGTCATTTATATCTTTATGTAGTATTGAATCTTGTCTGTTCCCGCGACTATTTTACGAAGCTCGTTACTCTTACTTAGCACCTTTTTGATCTGTTGACTTTAGTCAACTCGAGTTCTATCTCAGAATGACTATTAATATTATCGTTATGTTAAGGTGCATGCCTATCATTTGAGAATATTAATTATTTTTTTCTAACTGAATATATATGTATATCTCGTTTTGAATTTCTAGTGGTAAAGCTAGTGTGCGCTATGCCGAATTCGAGTAATTCAAAAAACTCAGCCAAAACGAATATTGTAAAAAATCAAATATATTCTACTGATTATTGTGAACTTTAAATCTTCGAAAATGTGTAAATCTTTGAATTGTTTTTTATTTATATTGATATTTAAATGTTGATTCCGGGATGTAGCAGTAAAAAAAAAAAAAAATTTATTTACCCGGACAAAGAAACACATGCTGGTAATATCGTACGATCCTTTAAATTATATAATAGACAATATGGTCAATTGTTTCCATATTATAAATTTTATTACAAAATTGTGCGATTTTAATCTCTTAAAAGGAGATTAAAATTTAAATCACCCATTTTTGCATTTATAAAGAATATTTTTCTTGGTTCTTTATACAGTTTTAAATTAATCTTATTAATATTAAAAATAAATTCCAATCATCCTTTTTCTATAATAGATTGTCAAAGAATTACAATCATCCTTTTTCTATACTAGATTGTCAATTCTAAATCAAAAAATTACAATCATCCTTTTTCTATAATAGATTGTCAGGGAGCCGGTTAAAATCCCGACAAGGTCAAAATCCAGGCAGATTAGCCCGCATTAAGGTTAGGATTAGCATAGTGTTAGTCAATTTTGTCGGGATTTTGGTTTGAGGGGATTCTGTTTGTCGGGATTTTGACCCAAACCCGATTGTCAATCAAGGAATTACGTACATGGTTAAATCATGTGCATGTCTGAAGTGTACTTACTAAAAATGTCCTTATAAAGATCTTTTCATAGTATCTAGCACTGTATTCATTACTTTCCCGTTCCTGTTTCGCACAACTGCGTTGCACAACTACTTATTATATAATTAAAATTTTACTTAACATTAAATACGTTATAATTTTGTTAGCTATTTGCAGATCAAATGGATACATATTTTTTACAGGAAAAAAGAAATGACTAAACTATTTGCTTATCTAAATTATTAAAAAGTATACTTTTTCAAGGCATTAGTTATGAAGTAAAAAATTATTACTCATAATAAAATACTTTTTCAGAAATCAATTACAAAGACTTACTCTTTGATAATAATTAGTAATACTATAATTATTATGAACTTTAATACTCTCACTACTTGATAATGTCTACAAGAGTAGTAAAACTATGCTTTCAGACTATGAAGTAATACTTTACGATCATTTAAACTTATTGACACTATTACAAGTAGTGATGCCGACATAACGTTTTATCAGCACTATGTTTGGGTTTTGTCACATTATAAAACTAATTTTAACATTTATCGTAGTTAAAACTGATAAAATAAAAAAAGATATAACTAGTATATACTAGTACGT